GTAATGAATAAAACCTTTTTTTTTTTGATTACCCGAAGTTTATTGGTGTTCTTCTTGTATAATTCAAATTATAAATGATATAACTAAACAAATTAATAATTAATTAGGTGAAGCTGTGCGCTTGAATTTGTCATCGCATCATCCTATGCAATGGTGGGGAGATAAGTAAAGCGTCCTGTCGGCTTAGCATCTGACGGCGATCAATATATCATATTTAGACGTTTTATCCGAATGTTACTCATAATTGTTCAAAATTTGGATTATTTAATTTTTGTTTTGCCATTTCTATCGTTTATTGTTCGCTTCTGTGTTGCTATTTATTCTAGTCTGCCTGTTTCCTGAAGAAAAAAATCCGATCTGATTGTAATGAATAAAACCTTTTTTTTTTGATTACCCGAAGTTTATTGGTGTTCTTCTTGTATAATTCAAATTATAAATGATATAGCCTAACTAAACAAATTAATAATTAATTAGGTGAATTTGTGCGCTTGAATTTGTCATCACATCATCCTATGCAATGTGGTGAATTAGCCTATTATTGCTCATTATCGTCTATAGGCTATTTAAGTAATTTAATTAACATAGGTTATCTTAATATATTGATTAATGACATTGTATTTATAATAGCCTATTACACCACCCAAATATGTATTTACTTCCTTCTAATTCTCGTTGTCAGTGCAGGCTTGTTTAGCTTAATATTGACTGTTATGAAAAGTGACTAGTGTAGCCTGCATAAAAAAAAGCCTTGAACATAAAACAACAGGACAAAAATATAGTTGATGACTAGACATAATCATTTCATGACTCTAGACACTTCTTTGTGAAGACAGTAGCATAATACAGTGAAATAGCCTAATATGTTCTTTAGCCATATACATAGTTGTCATGTGCGTGGGTAAAATTTACCGCTGGTGTGTTAAATGATACAGTTTCCAGAGGTGCACCATAAAAATAAATAAAAAACATTATTGCAGACACAATGACCATTATCTATTAATAAACTTCTAATAAACTAATCTAATAAACTTTACATCTAAAAAATTAGAAATCAATCCCTTTAAAATATTGTCATGTAAAGACAAGCCCAGTCATTATCAGAAAATAAGAAGACTGGGAAGAGAGGGTGGTGCTCTCTCACAACATATTGACAGTGCAAGAGGCTGCTCAGAGTCATTTTACTTTGTCATTACACCTTCTCTGCAGACCTTCCGTCATGTTTCTCCTTTGTTGGATATTTTTATTATTGATAGGTAAGATGTACTGATTTTTAGAGACTTGCTAAAGATTAAACAATGGAAAAAAACGAAAATGGGGTATGTGGCTGAAGTGAGAGCAGTTGTTGTGTTTACGATGCTAAAATCTTTTGTTTAATGATAAAGATGAATATCTGCTTTGTTTACAGGAAATTCCTTTGCAAACACAATACAACCATTATACTCTGAAAAGCATGTTGTCAGAGGTACAAATATGATACTTTCCTGTAACTACAGTGGCGATGTAAACAATCTGCAGTGGTATCGCCAATGTCCTGGATCTCGACCAGAGCACCTCATTCTCGTCACAGAATATTCAGAACCTGATCTTTCACGTCGTCTATCAGCAAAAGCTACAAAAGACCTAAAACAAGTGCATCTTACAATCTCCTCTGCTGAAGAAACAGATTCAGCTGTGTAATACTGCGCCCTGCAGCCCACAGTGACAGGAAACCTGCGAACACTGTACAAAAACCTTTGATATAAAATAAATCTGAATTGACATGTATTTGTAAACCTCAGCAATGAAAGCTTGATGTTGCATTAAATAAAATACTAAATAAAATTTTACAAGTGTAAACATTTGTCCAATGTCTTTCAATCAAACAGCAGCAACAAAGTGAACAAATCACACTATTATCTTCACATCAAAGAAACAGTGATATACAGGTAAGTCTTATCATCAACATTATATACACTGGGGTCCAAAAGTCTGAGACCACTACTAAAAATGCAATTTTAAATTTTTGTTTAACATAGTTTTACAGTTTTCATTACATACATATTCATTCATTCATTCATTCATTCATTTCCATGTTTAAATTACATAATAAGTACCAGATTTTCTGACTTTTGGACCTCACTGTATCATGAAGCTGAAAAGTTTGAAACAGTCATTCAAGTTTGACCCACAAGAGGGTGCTCTTCTGAGCTGAGAAGCTGCTTCACTATATTACAGTACTAAACTCTAATCCAGCTGTCTTTGAAGATCTTATATTTAGTCATTGAAGATACCTGTATTCCTGATAAGCTACATCTTTCATTACAGAAAATGTAATTTATGTATGAATACAGCATGAATATAACATACTGTAACTTCAACACAAAGATGTCTGTTGTTGCCCACTCCCTTGCCACAGGGTGGAGCTCTGCAGTCCGACGTTAGACAGCAGCAGCTCAAGCTCAAGCTAAATGTAACTGACTCAAGGTTGAGTTTGACACTTCAAGCTTTCGGTCTACTGAACAGTGACCATGATTATTGTTGTCTTTATTGTATTTTCACTGCTTACGGGTAAGTAATAATTTAATGCTCATTGTTGCATTAACGTCAGTACCAGTCGACTGAAAATGTTACAGTAACTCTCTTCTGCATTACTTAGATTGAACTGTTATGTTGAACAAAAATTACTTTAAAACATTTTCTCTTCTCTTCTTTTACAGAGAGTGCTGGTGCATATACAATAGAATCTCTCTTACCAGAAAAGCATGTTTTAGTTGGACAAAGTGCTGTTATCTCTTGCAAATACAGTGGCATTGGGCCCAGCTTTCAGTGGTATCGCCAATATCCAAGATCCAGACCAGAGTACCTTATTTTTAATGCAGAGACTGCCGTTTCATCCGAACCCACCCAAGAAATCACAGAAGTGGAACTGGAGATCTCCTCTACTGAAGTCAAAGACTCTGCTGTGTACTACTGTGCCCTGGTGCCCACAGTGACAGGAAACCCTCCTGCTCTGTACAAAAACATAATACATGAACACATCTTGCATTACACAAACATTGTGACACACCAGCTTCTAATCATGCACAATAGATCAATGATGCAACTGTTCTTATTTTTCCAAATCTAATGAAACAGGTCTTTTGATTTTAAGAAAAGGACAACCCATCAGCCAAGATAAAACCTCAGCCAGAGGGTGGAGCAAATTCACAAAGAACGTCAGTACCAGTCGACTGAAAATGTTACAGTAACTCTCTTCTGCATTACTTAGATTGAACTGTTATGTTGAACAAAAATTACTTTAAAACATTTTCTCTTCTCTTCTTTTACAGAGAGTGCTGGTGCATATACAATAGAATCTCTCTTACCAGAAAAGCATGTTTTAGTTGGACAAAGTGCTGTTATCTCTTGCAAATACAGTGGCATTGGGCCCAGCTTTCAGTGGTATCGCCAATATCCAAGATCCAGACCAGAGTACCTTATTTTTAATGCAGAGACTGCCGTTTCATCCGAACCCACCTTACGTCTCAAAGCGATGGCTAAAAAAGAAATCACAGAAGTGGAACTGGAGATCTCCTCTACTGAAGTCAAAGACTCTGCTGTGTACTACTGTGCCCTGGTGCCCACAGTGACAGGAAACCATGATGCAACTGTTCTTATTTTTCCAAATCTAATGAAACAGGTCTTTTGATTTTAAGAAAAGGACAACCCATCAGCCAAGATAAAGCCTCAGCCAGAGGGTGGAGCAAATTCACAAAGTCTTTGAATGTGTGAAAGGCTGATTCATTTAGAGTCATCCTGCTTTGATAAGTTTTACAATCACTCTTCATCAGAAACCATCATGTTTCTGTTTTGTTGGATACCACTGTCATTATTCATAGGTAACTAGGCTAATTGAATTCATGATTTAATTCTTGTTTACTAAACAAAATTATTTTATTTTGATGTGCTATATTGTATATAAATTTGTGCACAAGTTTCTTACCTTTAGTGTTAGTTTAATTAATACAGTTGCATTTTATCCATTCAGGAATTTCCTTTGCTGACACAATACAGCCATTGTCTTCTGAAAAACACATTTTCAGAGGTGACAATGTGACTCTGTCCTGTAACTACAGCGGTTTTGTATACAGTCTTCAATGGTATCGGCAATATGTGGGATCTAGACCGGAGTTCCTGATACTTGTAAATGAAAATTCAGAGGCATCTGAGCCTTCTCTTCGTCTGTCAGCAAAAGACTCAAAAGAGAAGAAACAAGTGAATCTTACAATCTCTTCTGCTGAAGTGACAGATTCTGCTCTGTACTACTGCGCTCTGAGGCCCACAGTGACAGAAATCCCAGAAGCACTGTACAAAAACTCTGATTCCAATGACTGCAGTCTTTCTACTTCAAAATTTCAATGTGTTATTTGCTTTATCGTTGTAATTAATTTTGAAATTTACTAGTAATATCTGAGTGAACATTTTTTTCTACACCATTTTTTAGTGTGTGTATGTGTGTGTTACTAAATTTATACTTAAGTTAAAAATTTCCATGAATAATCCAACCCTATTGTTTCCATTATACAGAAAGCTTTAATTTTATGTTTGATTTCAATTTCTTAAAATGGAATAAATATGCAATATATGTTCACATTCTGAGGTGCTCCAGTAATTCCCATGTGCACAACAAAAATTTTAGTTTGTTACTTTAGTAAGAAAGTTTCAGTAACTTAATGTTTTCTATATTATTACATTTTTCTATAAACTAATGCCCAAGTATAAACCTTGAGAACAGCTTTAAGAGGGATACATAAGAACCTTCTAACTTGGCAGAAGTCATCATCAGAGGGTAAAAATACAAATACTGTCCAAGTCCTCAGTGATTTGTGAAAGTCTAAATGTGTTTGTTTTCACCCAGAAGAGGGCGTTCTTCTCTCAACACTCGTCATGGAAGGTCAAATCTTGCCACAGGGTGGAGCTCCAGGCTTAAATCACTGTGTTTCAGTCAGGAAAAAACACATCTGAGTTTATTTCATTCCATCATGCTGCTCTGTGCACTTGTAATATTTTCAGTACTTGCAGGTGAGATTTGTTTATTTTATCACCACCTCTTTTGATTTAAAAATGTATTGCATTTATCTGATCACAATAGTGAATTTAGTATGTCTTTTCTTTCAGGAGACTCTCTTGGTGATCTAATAACATCTCATGGTTCTGAAAAACAAGCTCAAGATGGTAACAGTGTTACTCTCTCCTGCAACTACACTGGTGTTGTTTATAATCTACTGTGGTATCGTCAGTATCAAAGATCCAAACCAGAACTCCTTCTCTCCATGACTGAATCTGGAGATCCAGTTAAAGAAGATCCATCAGCCCACTGGTTATCTGCTAAAGTTGACAAACACAGAAAGCTCATGGAACTGGAAATCAGCCCGGCTAAAGTATCAGACTCCGCACAGTATTACTGTGCCCTGCAGCCCACAGTGACAGGAAACTCTTTTCCTCTGTACATAATCTTTCTGTATATAAGTCATGCTTTTAATTGATGCAAACACATGTACTCTACAGTATGTATTATTTCTGTGATTGAATCAGCCATCAGTAACACGAGCATCTCTTAATGAATCCATTAGGATCAATAGATATACAACACATATTATCATAGATAGGCGGAGCTTAATGTAGAATAGAGCAGAAGAGCTCAAAGAGGCTTGATACACCTACTTATAGATCATTAAATTCAAACCACATACAACAATGATCTTCATCTGCTCTGTTTTAACATTTGTCTTGAGTTATGGTAAGCCACAGACTTTTGACACCTTTTATTAATTGTATTATATTAATGTAAAGCTTTATGATTTTGGTAACACTGGATTGTTCATCTACTTTGCAGGTGAAGCTAATAAGAGTCCTATCAGTTCAGATAAACCATATGTGTCTTTAAACGAAGGCAGTAATGCTACTCTATCCTGTACCTTCGATGAATCAGCTTACCGTCTCCACTGGTATCGACAGAAGACCGGATCGAAGTTAGAGTTTTTGCTGCTAATTGATAAATCCACCAAAGTTGTAGTGGCAGCTAGTCCACCTCTTCCGCATATGTCCACTAGCATCCATAATAACAATCGTGTGGATCTGGAGATCTCCTCTGCTGCTGTATCAGACTCTGCTCTTTACTACTGTGCTCTGCAGACCACAGTGATAGGAAAGCTTGTAACACAGTACAAAAACAATGTTTTGATGATTATTTTAAAAGAATAAATTACTTGTACTGAGGCTTTTGCTTATATACAGTCCTCCATGATTCTCTGTTTATACTGCATTTCAGCAATCACAATTTAACTACTCATGGCCACCAACAGGACCTGCAGTGTGACATGCTAATCTCCATCTTAAAAAAGTCATAAACAGCATTTTATAATACTAATTCATTCTTATTTTATTCATACAGTTATTTAACCTCTAATCAATTGCTACATAGAATATTAATTAAAATTGTAAAGAAAAAAATTGTTGACCACTTGGGAATTATAATGAATGACAAAAATGAAATAAGAAAAAATACATAAAAAAATAAAAACGAGCAATTATATCTCCACCATTTAATATTTTCAGCTAAAGTTTAAGCATTACAAACTTTTTATGTCTTTGCTTTAATATACACCGCCGGAGACTTTGAACCACATGTCACATGAACTGGTTTAAAGACTAAGGTATAAAAACTAAATAACTTTCCCATAGGGCGGAGCTTAAAATCAAGATGTAGAAGCATTTTAATCTGAGGATGTCAGAATTGAAAGGCATCCAGTCTGAATGATACTCAAGTCTCTCAGATTCTTCTTCAGATTTCTGTTGTCATGAATATTTTCACTCTCCTCAGTTTTTTGTGGATATGTATTGGTAAGATAAAGTTGTATTTTTTTCTCTCCAATCTAGACCTGCTACTTTGTACTTATTTACTACTACTTTTTACCAGTAGTTACTGTTTAATTTATTTAATTAGGCTTTTACTCTCCATTACCAGGTCACACAGAGGCAGACACAATCAAACCCTTGTCACTGAATGAAAATAGATTTGTTGGTGACAGTGTTACTTTGTCCTGCAGTTATAAAGACTATACGGGTACTGTAAATAATTTACAATGGTACAGACAATATCCCAGATCCAAACCGGAGTTCCTCCTTTACATCTTCCAACATGGAGCTATGAGTGAAGACAGACCACCCAGATTTTCTGCTGCAGTTAATCAAGACAACAAACAAGTGGATCTGGAGATCTCCTCTGCTGTAGAGACAGATTCTGCCATGTACTACTGTGCCCTGGTGCCCACAGTGACAGGAAACCCACCTGCTCCGTACAAAAACTTAATACCTTAACACATTTTACATTAAACAAAAAAATGTGACACACCAGCTTCTAATCATGCACAATAAATCACCGTTGCAACAGTTAATTTTTTTTCTTTAAATCTAATGAAACACTGTCAGGTCTTTTCATTTTGAGAGAAAAACAGCCCATCAGGGAAGAAGATAAAGCCTCAGCCAGAGGGTGGAGCAAATTCACAAAGTCTTTGAATGTGTGAAAGGCTGATTCATTTAGAGTCATCCTGCTTTGATAGTTTTACAATCACTCTTCATCAGAAACCATCATGTTTCTGTTTTGTTGGATACCACTGTCATTATTCATAGGTAAAAAAAAAAGTATTTTTTTTTATTGTTTATTTTATTGTATATTTTATTAAAAAATATATTTTTATATACTAAATTGTATCACATTGTGAACAAGTTACTTAGCATCAGTTTAATTAATACAATTGTATGCATTTTATCCATACAGGAAATTCTTTTGCTGACACAATACAGCCATCGTCTTCTGAAAAACACATTTTCAGAGGTGACAATGTGACTCTGTCCTGTAACTACAGTGGTCTTGTATATGACCTGCAATGGTATTGAAATTTTGGGGGATTTAGACCAGAATTCCTGATACTTGTAAATGAAAATTCAGAGGCATCTGAGCCTTCTCTTCGTCTGTCAGCAAAAGACACAAAAGAGAAGAAACAAGTGAATCTTACAATCTCTTCTGCAGAAGTGACAGATTCTGCTCTGTACTACTGCGCTCTGAGGCCCACAGTGACAGAAAGCCCAGAAGCACTGTACAAAAACTCTGATTCCAGTCATTTAGTTTGACACATCAATGAATGATCCAACCCCATTGTTTAAGTTATATGGAAAGCTTTAATCCAATGTTTAATTTAAATGAAAATGGATAGGAAATGTGAAATATATGTTCAGATTATGAGGTGTTACAGTAATTTACATGTGCATAACACAATTTAGTTTGTCTTTTTAGTATGAAAGCTTCAATAGTTTTTTTTTTTTTTTAAATGTTTTCAAATTTTTATCTGTATTTTTATCATACTGCATTTTCCACAAACTAATGCCTTAGTATAAATCTAGAGAACAGATTTAAGAGAGATGCACATAAGAACCTTCTATCTTGGCAGAAGTCATCATCAGAGGGTAAAAATATAAATACTGTGATTATTATCTGTCATCCTCTATGATTCATGAAGGTCTAAATGGTTTTTTTTTCACCCAAAAGAGGGCATTCTTCTCTTGTCTGTATCCCTCATGCACACAACCGGCTCAACACTCGTCATGGAAAGTCAAATCTTGCCACAGGGTGGAGCTCCAGGCTTAAATCACTGTGTTTCAGTCAGGAAAAAACACATCTGAGTTTGTCTTTTCATTCCATCATGCTGCTCTGTGCACTTGTAATATTTTCAGTACTTGCAGGTAAGACTCGTTTATTTTATTATCACCACCTCTTTTCTGATCACAACAGAGAGTTTAGTATGTTTTTTTTTCAGGAGACTCTCTTGGTGATCTAATAACATCTCATGGTTCTGAAAAACAAGCTCAAGATGGTAACAGTGTTACTCTCTCCTGCAACTACACTGGTGTTGTTAATAATCTACTGTGGTATCGTCAGTATCAAAGATCCAAACCAGAACTCCTTCTCTCCATGACTGAATCTGGAGATCCAGTTAAAGCCGATCCATCAGCCCACTGGTTATCTGCTAAAGTTGACAAACTCACAAAGCTCATGGAACTGGAAATCAGCCCTGCTAAAGTATCAGACTCCGCACAGTATTACTGTGCCCTGCGGCCCACAGTGACAGGAAACCCTTTTCCTCTGTACATAATCTTTCTGTATATAAGTCATGCTTTTAATCGATGCGTAACAAACACATGTACTCTACAGTATGTATTATTTCTGTGATTGAATCAGCCATCAGTAACACAAGCATCTCTTAATGAATCCACAAGGATCGATACAACTCAAATCAATTGTGATGCTACCTGGTATATTTGTATAATATAAATATAAGTATAATATAAAAGTTCAATGAAAATGGTGATAAAAGAAATGATGACCACTTGGGTGTTATCATGAATATGAAAAAAAATTAAATAAGAAAAATTGCATTAAGAATGTCAAAATAAGCAACTAGATCTCCGAAATTCAGTTTGTTCTGTATCATTATTGTGATTTTGCAATAAAAAAAAAACATATGTGAGTATAACTCCACCAATTAATGTTTTCAGCTAAAGTTTAAAAAAGTATTACAATCTTTTTAATGTCTTTTCTTTAATACACATTGGCAGAGACTTTGAATCGCAGGTCACATGAACTGGTATAAGTATAAAGACTTTATTAGAGAAATACAAGCAAAACAAGATTTTTCCAGTGGGTGGGGCTTAATATCAGGATGAAGAAGCATTTTAATCTGAGGGAGGATGTCAGAATTCAAAGGCATCCAGTCTGAATGATACTCAAGTATTTCAGATTCTTCTTCAGATTTCTGCTGTCATGATTATTTTCACTCTCCTCAGTTTTTTGTGGATATGTATTGGTAAGATAAAGTTTTATTTTTCTCTCCAGTCTAGACCAGTTACCTTTTACTTATTTGCTACTTACTACTTTTTACCATTTAATTACTGCCTAATTAGGCTTTTACTCTCCATTACAGAGGCAGAAATAAAACCCTTGTCACTGAATGAAAATAGATTTGTTGGTGACAGTGTTACTCTGTCCTGCAGTTATAAAGACTATTCAGGTACTGTAAATAATTTACAATGGTACAGACAATATCCCAGATCCAAACCGGAGTTCCTCCTTTACATCTTCCCGCAAGGAGTTATGAGTGAAGACAGACCACCCAGATTTACTGCTACAGTTAATCAAGACAACAAACAAGTGGATCTGAAGATCTCTTCTGCTGTAGAGACAGATTCTGCCATGTACTACTGTGCCCTGAGGCCCACAGTGACAGGAAATCTAACTGCATCATACAAAAACCTCCCATGTCATCATTAAAGAAAGATGAAGCCTCAAAGACTTACTTCATCCTGTCTCAAAGGCCAGTGCATCATCACCACAATAGTCTGTAATTTTGCTGAGACAAGTCATATAACATATACATTCAATATAGTCAAAGGTTTGCATTTCCCTTATTACTGAAATAGTACATACGTTTTTCCAGAAGGTAGCGCTGTATGCATATTCTTTTTCAGTCATTTCAGTGTGCATGTGCAAGTTTTGTCTTACGTCCAGATTAATTGTCTGTATTGATGTTAATTTGTCTGCTCAAAAGTCAGAGACTGATTTTCATCTGCAAGATATTGTCAGTTTGTTTCAGGTTACGTTGGTTAATCTAATTGGTTGTTCCCAAGGTTACTATAAAAAGAGAGCTTGTATCAATGATGCAGTGTTCTTGCTTGCAAGATTTTTTAAAAGGTAAATGTTATTGATAATATTCCAGGTATTGTTGAACTACATATTCCAGTATACTAATCAATCTGACACCTTGCCGTCAAGTATTTTATGGCTATTTTAGCATAATGCTAATTTTTACTTTAGACTCATTCTGAACTGTCTGAGATAGCTGAAATACTTCCGTAAAGATCATTTCACCTATTGCTCACTTAAACAATCAAAATTTATTCTTCTTATACATATTCTGCCAGAGGGAGGAGCTATAGGATTCATGTTTTACATTACCCAGCTCCAGCTATATTGAGTTTTAGGAGGAAATTGATTCTCACAGTCATTTTTGTCTCTTTATTAGTAAGATGTTGTTCCTGATTTTAATCGTCATTTCTCTGCTCAAAGGTCAGTTATTGATTTTTTTTTTACATTTTATCCAATTATTATATATTCAGTGTGAACTACATGTATGCATCTTAATTTAATTTAGCCCAAAGGAATAATTTATCATCTTTGATTCTTCTTCTACACAGAGAATGCTGACGCAAATACAATAAACCCACTGGTCCCAGAGAAGCACATGACAGCAGGAGACAATGTTACCCTCTCCTGTGAATACAGTGGAGGTGTTAACACACTGCAGTGGTATCGACAATATCCAGGATCTCGAATAGAGTTTCTCATTTTTGCCACTGAGCTCAGTGGCCGATCAGAGCCTGCACTTCGACTTTCATCTACAGCTGATAAAGGAAACAAATGGATGCATCTGAACATCTTTTTAACAGAAATGGACGATTCTGCTCTGTACTACTGTGCCCTGGTGCCCACAGTGACGGGAAACACTGCAACACTGTACAAAAACCTGAAACCATACTAGCATCAGATTTCAACAGACACTCCACTTAAATCAAATAATAAATAATATGAAGCATGAAAGTGGTGTTTCAAAATATAAATTTCAACTTATAAATTAAATTAAATTAAGTACCTCTGAGTATGAAATGACTGACAATAGGCTATGGGTGAAAAATAAATATCAATATTTTGGGAAGGTAATATTTATTGATGAATGAATTACAAGGTAAAATTTACTCTCAATTATCAAATCAATTTTTAATACTGACTTAAAGAATAGGAGTGTGTTCGAGGTTGTTAGTCAATGGGGTTTGCAAACCGAGAACTGACGCTTCTCATTTAGAACTGGTTCGTTTAAAAGTCAAGTCAAGTCAAGTCAAGTCCAGTCCAGTCCAGTCCAGTCCAGTCCAGTCAGTCAGTCAGTCAGTCAGTCAGTCAGTCAGTCTCACAAAACAGGCATTATATATTCAGGTTAAAGAACAAATAACTCTTATGAGCTGGTTCTTTCTAGTGAATCAAAAAATTTACAATCACTCTGATTGCTGGACGAATTAGTCAGTTTTTTGTAGTAAAACAATCACAGTTACATCTAAATTACTGAGAGATAAATTTGAAAAGGTGCTGTTGAATTCTTTTTGATCCCCATTCCTGCTGTTGGGGGAAGAATAAAACTTTATATGTAATCCCTCAAAGCTGTCAGAAGGAGGAGCTCTTAGTGTTTTTCATTTCTGACATCTAAGTGTGCTGTCATTCTGTGAGTTAAAACAACATTATGTGGGTCTATTTACCTTTGCTCCTTTCAGCACTTGCAGGTGAGAATGTTTTTCTTTCCATATTAATTCTTCATATAAATTTGTCATTCATTAACATTTTTAATTGTTTAGGGTTTAAATATATATTAATACATTTTTTGTTTGACAGGAGACTCTCTTGGTGATCTAATAACATCTCATGGTTCTGAAAAACAAGCTCAAGATGGTAACAGTGTTACTCTCTCCTGCAACTACACTGGTGCTGTTTATAATCTACTGTGGTATCGTCAGTATCAAAGATCCAAACCAGAACTCCTTCTCTCCATGACTGAATCTGGAGATCCAGTTAAAGCCGATCCATCAGCCCACTGGTTATCTGCTAAAGTTGACAAACTCACAAAGCTCATGGAACTGGAAATCAGCCCGGCTAAAGTATCAGACTCCGCACAGTATTACTGTGCCCTGCAGCCCACAGTGGCAGGAAACCCTTTTCTCCTGCACAAAATCTTGCCAATGGTAGAGCTTAACATCTAAAAGCTGATAGACTGGCTGACAACGTATTTTACTTTTATTCAACTGTTTTTATTTATTTTATTTAACTGTATTTTTTTCAGTCAGAAATCTGTAGCTTTGACAAAAGTATTACTATATTGTGGGGACCCGAGTCAGAGATGTTATGACAGTACTCATCTAAACACATTTAAATAGGTACAATGTAGAAACTATTCCTTTCGCCCAAAATGAGCAATGACAGGACATACAGTGAGCATAGAAAAGAATAACCCCCCTTTAAAATAATCACATTTTGTTGCTTTGCAGCCTGTAATGAAGACGGACACAGTTTTATCCAGCTGTATTTACTCAGTGCAACTTATAACATCCAAGTGAAATATATAACTCCAACTAGACTTGTGCTGGTATTCGGTAATGCGATATATCACGGAGCACTTTTTTTAACTAAATTTCAATATCGTGATAATACCGTGATAAAAGCATTAGCAATTAATCGCAACATGAAAATTTGATACCGGCATATCCCTAACTCCAACATGTCAGAATCACTGAGTTGGAAAAAGGATCACCCCCCCTTCTAAAAATGACTTGTAAACTCAATCAGGTGTAGCTAATCCTTGGTAGTGCAACTGAAGCAAACAATCAACTATGGGTCACTTTTCAAGTCACCTTTATTTGTATAGCGCTTTATACAATACTGGTTTTGTCAAAGTTGTGGACATGCACCAGTCAGGAGATGGATACAAAAAAAATTCAAAGGCTTTATCAATGCCTAGAAGCACAGTGAAGTCTATCTGGTCAGAGAGGCGACCAAGAGGCCTACAGCAACTCTGAAGCAGTTGCAGGAATTTATGACAAAGAGTGGTCATTGTGTGCATGTGACAACAATATCACAAATTCTCCACTCCTCAAGAAAGGCCACATGCAGTCACGACTGAGCTTTGCCGAAGCGCACCTTGAAGATTCTGAGGCGGGTGAGACTAATATTGAATTATTTGGCCTCAACACCAAACGATATGTCTCTCTGAAATCTAATCCCGTTCACCATCCATGCCAGAAAGTTGTCAATGGGAAGAAGGTTTACCTTCCAACATGACAATGACCCAAAGCACACAGCAAAACTGACCACACAGTGGTTGAATAAGAAAAAGATGAATGTCCTTGCATGGTCTAGTCAGAGCCCAGACTAAAACTCCATTGAAAATCTGTGGAATGACTTGAAGACTGCAGTCCACAAATGGTCACCATCAAATTAAACTGAACTTGAGCAGTTCTGCAAAGAAGAGTGGACAAATATTGCAAAGTCTAGATGTGCAAAGTTAGTAGAGACAGAGATATATCCCAACAGACTATTACAGGCTGTAATTAAAGCAAAAGGTGGTTCAACAAAATACTGACAAAAGGGGGTGATCCTTTTTACAACCCAGTGATTCTGTTTTTTTGTTCGTTTTTTTTTATTTATGACATGTTGGTGTTATCTTTCACTTGGATGTTACAAGTTGCACTGATTAAATACAGCTGGATGAAACAAAAACTGTGTCCGTCTTCATTTCAGGCTGCAAAGCAACAAAATGTGATTCTTTTAATGGGGGGTGATTCTTTTCTATACCCACTGTACTATGTGGGAGGAGCTCAGTGTTTGGTAGAACACCAATTCAGTGACTCCAGCAGAACAAATCAAAAATACAACACTGACGTACCTTCATACAGATTCTGATAGAATCCTGAACTAAAATGTTTCTCATCTATTCTGTTTTAATATTTCTCCTAAGCTACGGTAAGTACTATTACTTATATTCTACATCTCAAACTACAGAAAGAATAAGCTATTTATCAAAGTGGTGTAAATTTTCATTTAAAATTTAAAGTTACAACTAAAATTACTTTCTTTGCAGATGGAGTATGTGGGAATGTCATCAGACCAAACCAACCGTCTGTAGTTTTAACTGAAGGAAGCAGCACAACTCTGTCCTGTACATATGATGAATCAGCTTACAGTCTCCACTGGTATCTGCAGAAGCCTGGATCAAAACCAGAGTTTCTGCTGCTGATTGTTGAGTCTACTAAAACAGTAGTTCCAGCTTCTCCACTTCATCCACATATGTCCATCAGACTCCGTAATAATAATGGTGTGGATCTGGAGATCTCCTCTGCTGCTGTATCAGACTCTGCTCTTTACTACTGTGCCCTGGAGCCCACAGTGACAGAAAAACCAACTACACTTTACAAAAAGTTTCCTTTTCTTTGCTTTTTCCTGGCTCAAAATGAGACGGAGGTGGTACCATCCTGATCATGTGCACACAATGTACCCACCCTTCGACTGGCTGAAACAAACACTTTTTACACGCAACGTATTTTAGGTGCTATAATAATTATATGATTGAAGAAAATTACAATTATAAAGTTACATTTTACAAAAACAAACCTGTTGAACATGAAATTAAATAAAACATACCAGCTAAAAGGGGCCCTTTTGTAGTATAGGTGAACATATAACATTAGGTTGTTAAACATTTAATGAAATTGAAAATCTGTATCCACTCCTTATGGTCTCCTGGTCCACATTGCATTGATCCAATAAACATTTATCCACTTAAAGTGTCTTTCTAGAAAACAAAATATTTTCTTTCAACCTTACGTGAATTCTTCTGATACATCATGAAATGCAATCGCAGCAGGGTAACAGGTGCATTATTGAGCTAACATTAGCACCAAGTAAGTAAGCTTTTACTCAAATCTCACTTCAAACCAGCATTGAGTGTTTGCAATAACTTATTTGTAGTTTTTTATACTAAGCTACCAACTTGGCATTTCTCATGTAAACATTCTTTATTGTTAAGAAAACACCCCAAATCTCATTAAAATAACATACAAACCATATACTATTGTAATCGTGTGTTAAACATAGGGCCCTATGAAATCTGTTTTATTTTTTCCCAAATTCCGTTCTAATTTTTAATGGTTAAATTAAATTTTAAGCATGTCTAATTAATTAAAATCATGGAACTAAAACAACTTAATTTATTCACATTTATTCTTAAAATAGCCTTATGAAATGCTTTCTTTTTCCTCAGAAATCCTGTGTTGTGTATCTGGTTATCAAATGATAAAGTTTTAATAATTTTAGTAGTAGTAGTAGTAGTATGTACATTCTGCTGAACAAAAGTAATATATTTCTGCTGCAATGCATTCAAGTTAAACCGGACTTTTATTTTGACGGATTGCTGTGAATACCTTTATATTTCTGTGTGTTTATCATATGACGCTAGTTTTACTCAAATGAAATGGTAAAATACTCATGAAGTGACTCTCAGAGCAGTTCTGGAGATGTTGTTTGTGTATTTATGTCCTCATTTAGTGAGACGACAGATGCTGAAATCACCGCAAGCGTAGCGCCCGCTTCAGTGTGTGTGTAGTAAACGAAACCACGCGTCATTCATTCATACAGAGATATGATCGAGTAATATGAGTTAATGCTCATCAGATCGCGTAAATCAGTGGAAAATTAATACAAATTATGATTCTGTGTAAAGAAATATCAAGTAAACTTGTATACAAATATCAGTATTTTCCAAATATGAACTAAACGCTCTAATGGAAGCAGTTCAGTGACGCTTGCACGTGACTGCCTGCCTGCCAACCAGAGGCGGCACAAAATTTGGCGGAGGCGGCCGCCTCATAATTCTCTATGCAGGAAAAACCCTGTATACAGTCGGATTTCTAAGAACCCTTAATCTACTGGAATATTGAATTCCTTTGGAAGTTTTTTTTTTTTTTTACTAAAAGGCTTTATGGTTATTTTTGGAAATAGACATGCGATCTTTAAAATGAAAACATTGTTTTCATCATGTTACTGTAAAATAACTTTGCAATATATTTAACAAAAATAATCAATACATTTTTGCCTACTTTTGTTATTATAGAAACATCCAGGAAAAAGCTGTTAATGTTTAAAATGTGTTTAATTTGCCTGATTTAAACTAGTGAGCACCAATTTAACATGCAGTCTGCCAGAAGGTGGAGCTCTAGGTTCAGTCATTTCAAAATAGAGCACAGACATAAACTTATTATGTCTGTGAGTTAGAGTTAGTTGAGGAAAGTCACAAAGGCCTTTTTGTTTCTTGCTGGTGTAGATGTTTCTCCTGGTCCTCTTGATATTTTCTCCTCTTATGGGTAAGTAATTTAAAAGAATAACTTCCAAATAGAAAAATACAAATTTTGAATGGTAATGTGTCAATAAATCACCTGTTTACACTTTTTTTTTCAAACAGAGAATTCTGATGCTGAAGTGATAACCTCATTCTTCACAGAGCAGCATGTTTAGGCAGGAAAAGATATTACTCTTTCCTGCAATTACAGTGGCTATGTTCAAAATCTAGTTGAGGAAAGTCACAAAGGCCTTTTTGTTTCTTGCTGGTGTAGATGTTTCTCCTGGTCCTCTTGATATTTTCTCCTCTTATGGGTAAGTAATTTAAAAGAATAACTTCCAAATAGAAAAATACAAATTTTGAATGGTAATGTGTCAATAAATCACCTGTTTACACTTTTTTTTTTCAAACAGAGAATGCTGATGCTGAAGTGATAACCTCATTCTTCACAGAGCAGCATGTTTTGGCAGGAAAAGATATTACTCTTTCCTGCAATTACAGTGGCTATGTTCAAAATTTGCAGTGGTATCGTCAGTATCCCGGATCCAAACCTGAGAATATAATTTTTTATACTGAGACAAACAGTCAGTCAGAGCCCAAGCTTCGTCTGTATGCTGTAGCCGATAAAGGAATCAAACTTATGAATTTGAGCATATCTTCTACTCAAATGGATGATTCTGCTCTGTACTACTGTGCCCTGCAGCCCACAGTGACAGGAAATACAACTGCACTGCACAAAAACTTTCTTATGACTTACTAGAAGGCACTTTCACACCAGTTTTTCCTAATTGTCTTTCCTGACTGATACGATGTGATGCACTTTTTTTTTTTTTACAAAAAGAACATAATTTGTCACGTTTCTGACAAACAAATCTGATTCTAAACACTTGGTGTCACTATCAATCACGGCAAAGTCTCATGAGATATCATCTCTGCTGCTGAATTAGTTTATTACATTTTTGCCAGCTTCCCAATGCTATTAACAGATATTTGCAGAATTCAAATTTAACTGACAAAGAGCCTCATTAATACAACGACGAGTTTGTCCTGGGAATGCAGCTAAGTCTGATGCTGTGTTCATGTTCTTATACTTGTAGAAATGTTTCAATAACGTACATTGCACATTATGCATAAATCTGTGGTTTTTGTAAAAATGGGCATGCAGAGTGCTCGTGCTCTTGATTAATGTTAATTAACATTGCTTCATAACATGAAAAAGTAACCTCAATGACCATTTTACTGTGTTATTGCTGATGCCTGATGTAATGCACCATTTTCTTGTGAATTATTAGAAAGTACACTAAATTACATAGCCTGCATAATAGTATATGTAATAAATAAATTACCTATATTACCTATATACACAAAATGTGGAATCATTTAGGCCCCTGACATGTTGGAGACTTAAATAGCTTAAATGTTAATAATTACCATACATTTCAGGTCAATTTCAGGTTAAAGCACACCATTTATATATATATATACACAAGTTTTATATATAAACTTTTTGAAAGTTTCCATGTGTAACAATCATTAATTTTATGTGCATTATTCTGCCAGAAGATGGAGCTCTAGGAATCTTTTCACTTCAGTTCAGTTGTTTAAAAACAGCAGACATACTGTACATAGAGTCAGTCATAATCTAGAAGGGAACTATAAGTCTTGACTCTCAAAGTCATTGTCTCTCATTAGTGTAGATGTTGCTCCTAGTATTCATTATATTTTCTCTTCTAAAAGGTGAGTGAATTAAAACAATTACTGTGGAAGTGTTCTTTCCATATTCTGTTGACAGTCTAAATTAGTCCATTACAAATAACTAATTACATTTTTTAAAAACAGAGGATTCTTTTCACTCTGAGTTCAGTTGTTTAAAAACAGCAGACATACTGTACATAGAGTCAGTCATAATCTAGAAGGGAACTATAAGTCTTGACTCTCAAAGTCATTGTCTCTCATTAGTGTAGATGTTGCTCCTAGTATTCATTATATTTTCTCTTCTAAAAGGTGAGTGAATTAAAACAATTACTGTGGAAGTGTTCTTTCCATATTCTGTTGACAGTCTAAATTAGTCCATTACAAATAACTAATTACATTTTTTAAAAACAGAGGATGCTGCTGATGATGTCATAAAACCAGTCTTCACAGAGAAGCAGGTTTTGGCAGGAAAAGATGTTACACTGATCTGCAACTACACTGGCACAGTTCAGAGTTTACAGTGTTACCGTCAGTATCCCGGATCCAAACCCAGTTGTTTAAAAACAGCAGACATACTGTACATAGAGTCAGTCATAATCTAGAAGGGAACTATAAGTCTTGACTCTCAAAGTCATTGTCTCTCATTAGTGTAGATGTTGCTCCTAGTATTCATTATATTTTCTCTTCTAAAAGGTGAGTGAATTAAAACAATTACTGTGGAAGTGTTCTTTCCATATTCTGTTGACAGTCTAAATTAGTCCATTACAAATAACTAATTACATTTTTTAAAAACAGAGGATGCTGCTGATGATGTCATAAAACCAGTCTTCACAGAGAAGCAGGTTTTGGCAGGAAAAGATGTTACACTGATCTGCAACTACACTGGCACAGTTCAGAGTTTACAGTGGTACCGTCAGTATCCCGGATCCAAACCCGAGCACCTCATTATGTTCTTTGAGACCAGCCCTAAATCAGAGCCTGCTCTCCGTCTGACCGCTGCGGCTGATACAGCAGCCAAAAGTATGAATTTGATGATATCTTCTACAGAAGTGAAAGATTCTGCCATGTACTACTGTGCCCTGGTGCCCACAGTGACAGGAAATACAACTAGACTGTACAGAAACTGAATGAGTAATGATATTAAACAGAAGAACATGATTTAAAAACATTATATACAATATTTGCACTGTACAACTATCAAATGTTTCAAGCATTAATTTGCTGCTCGTAATAAAGAGTGTAATATTAGATAAATTAGACTAACACAACATTTTTAGCTTGTAGACTACATCTTCTTCCTATACAGTATTGGTAGGGTGAGATGAGCATGTAGGTCTGTGTGGGAGGAGCTCAATATTTTTAAACTCCAGCAGAATAAATCGGACACAAAAACTTCATACAGATCCTGCGAGAAGTCTGAACTCAAACTATAGAATCATGTTACTCA